ACACACACACACACGTGTCTAGCATGAGTTTAAGCCATCAGGTCCAAGACTCAAACCACAGTTGACTACGTGGTAGTCCAGCAACATAGCCATTATTCCAACTGCTGGTTCACAAGGAAGAAGCCATCCCTGTTACGGGTTGGCAGTGCCTTGCCATGTTAGGCAGGTGACTGCAGGGGTGGAGAGTGGGGTGAACCCCTAGTCCAGGTACTGGGTGCATCCCTGCCTGGTGATTGCAGTCTTTGGGAGTTTCCCATCTAACAGGGGTTGGGGTGGAGGACTCATGGGAAGTGAAAACTGACTTTCCCACCCCCTGGGTCCAGCTGCTGTCTGGGAACAGAACCTGGGAGCTGAAGGGACTCGCTCATGCTGACTTGTCTGTTCAGGCCCTTAGGCACTTGTGAGAAAATTTTGTCTAGGCTCCTTTAACTATGACTATCAGTATCTTAGATAATCCAAATGCCCTTCTGTTTAACTGTCTCAATTATTACCTGAGCTTTGATCTTAAGTCCATAGAGAAATTAGATTTCATACAGTAAAAGTTCAAGGTATTGTCAAGAACAGAATAGAATCGTCTTTTTATTTTGATACAGAAAGACGTTAAAGAACAAACAACACCGACTATCATCATTATCATTTGTAGAAGGGAACTTGTTAACATTGAAAAGTGTAGTAAGGAAATAATCGCAGGATAAAGGACAGTCCTTTATAAGAACTGGCGTTTGACGACCCTCCACCGGCACGCTCTGCTATGGACTAGTGGACGCTGCGTCAGGGGTCAGCGCTTGTCTGCAGACCGGTGTCTGAGAAGCCCAGAGCCACGGCGTAACAGAACGGTGATGTGGAGCGACTGCCGAGGGCTGTGCTGCATGGGTAGCTCAAGTGTGTTCTTGAGCTTTCTAATTCCACCCGTACAAAAGGGGTCATTACTCTCGATAATGGCCAGCTCTTTTCCAGTGCCCTGCAATCTTGCTGTCGTATGTCTTACGTTTTTAGTAGGAAATTTTAGAGCATAGAGATTTAAATTCTCATGCTAGAAAATATTTTCTACTATGATTTAACTATGGTCTGTCCAGTTGTAAACATGGGCATACTCCTATAGTCATTTATTAACCTGAATAGGTTACTTGGTTTGCTCCCATAGTCGTTGTACTAATGTATTAGTAACTAGGGTAATTTACTTAGTTTGTGGTAATTAAAGCTAACAGATGGTTTTATTTTGACCTTCCACAATACCTGTTTTTTTTTTTTCAGAGATAGTTTTCAGATGGGTTAATCCAGATATAAAAATATCGGATAGTGACCTGATAGATGTAAACTCCTTGAGGACAAACACAAAACCCTGTCTGGCACTGAGTGCGGGCTCATTGAATTTTATCAAATGAAGAATCAGGAACAGTTAATAAACTCATACTCTTCCTGAGCTCAGATACTGCCTGGCTAAGGTGTTTGGTTACATGTTGAATTGGACTCACATGAACTTGTACCTCCTTCTGAAACCATGATGAAATTACTGTCAGACGTCCATAAGGACAAGGAAGTAGGGGAGGAAACAATAAAAATAAAGGTTTAAAGTGGGAACTGGATGGACTCCACTCTGCTATGCATAGGAGAGGAAGTGGAAGTCGCAGAAGAGGAAGCGGTTCGGAATAGCAGATATTACGTGCCTCTGGGAAGAAGGTGTGCAGTCAGAGCAGGAAACTAGAGGGTCTGTGTCGGAAGTGTCCAGCCCCAGATCCTCTCCCCTGCCCTACACGAACAAGTGGTTTTTTTTTTCCCCTTCCACAATCCCGTTTTTTTTTTTTTCAGAGATAGTTTTCAGATGGGTTAATCCAGATATAAAAATATCGGATAGTGACCTGATAGATGTAAACTCCTTGAGGACAAACACAAAACCCTGTCTGGCACTGAGTGCGGGCTCATTGAATTTTATCAAATGAAGAATCAGGAACAGTTAATAAACTCATACTCTTCCTGAGCTCAGATACTGCCTGGCTAAGGTGTTTGGTTACATGTTGAATTGGACTCACATGAACTTGTACCTCCTTCTGAAACCATGATGAAATTACTGTCAGACGTCCATAAGGACAAGGAAGTAGGGGAGGAAACAATAAAAATAAAGGTTTAAAGTGGGAACTGGATGGACTCCACTCTGCTATGCATAGGAGAGGAAGTGGAAGTCGCAGAAGAGGAAGCGGTTCGGAATAGCAGATATTACGTGCCTCTGGGAAGAAGGTGTGCAGTCAGAGCAGGAAACTAGAGGGTCTGTGTCGGAAGTGTCCAGCCCCAGATCCTCTCCCCTGCCCTACACAGAACGAAAATTGGAGTCTATAAAGAAACTCTCATGGGATGAAAGAGAACCCTTAATGTAAACGTATTAGATTAAAAAAAAGGGGGCAATAGAAGGTTGGAAGATAAGGTTGACAAAGTATTCTAGAAAGTAGAACCCGAAAGATAAGAAGATGGAAAGAGGAGAAAAAGAAAATTAGGGGATCTGTCCAAGGTGTTAGTGAGTTTTAGAGAGAACAGAGAAAATGGAAAGAGAAGAAATGATTAAAGAGATGACCAGAAAGTTACCCTGGCCTGGAGGGTATGAAGCAATCTTGCCCAGACCAATGCCCCTTGTAATGAAATTGCGTACTACACATGGAAGATTCTCAGACCCTCCATAGAGGAAGAGTAAGAATGGCAACATAATGACCTCAGACTTATTTTTAAAGAATGATTTAATTTTATTTGTTAATTATTATTCTTCAGTTTGACCAGAGGGAGTTAGAGAAACACAGAGGGAGAGTAAAAAAGCAAGCTGGCTGGTCTGGAACTTTAACCTGGGTCAGCCATGTGGGAGTCCAGACCCCAACCACCACCCCACCTGCTGGCCCCAATCTCAGACTTTTAAAAAATCTAATGTAGAGGCATGCCATGTGCGGTGGGGGGTGGGGTGGGCCCCCCCCCCAGAGTGGATGTGTCCCCAGGTCACGACTCTGTGCTCAAGTGAGTGCACTCTGTGCAGCTCTAGCCCTCGATGCTTAGCAAGACCGTGGCTTGAACTCTAGAAAAGCAGCAGGAAGATCTAGAAGAAGTAAAGGTGTTACTGGAAAGGCCACTAGGGAGACAGTGCATGATGCACTTACAGCTGAAAAATCCAGGACTGAGACAAAAATCAAGCACTAGATGCAACAGAGATCACGCAGAAGAGCAGAACTTCTTGTCAGTGGAAAGCTGGCTGCTGTGTTTGCTCCCATTACGACAGAACGGACAGTGTAAAATCAGTAACTATAGATGGGATCAATCAGGTAAGTTTATGAAAACCTAGTTACCTTAACTGGAGTTCATCACGTTCCTACTGAGAACATGCAGGTGCATTTCACAGAGAGGTCATTTGATCTTTTGGTACAGAACCTAAATGGCAAGAGTTACTCCATGACGGTGAACAATCTTGAAACCCATCTCTGTGGAAGGCAGTTCAAAAAAAGTTAAGACTGGGACCAGCAGTTAGTGTAATGGCTATGTCACTGGACTCCCACGTAGTTGACCGTGGTTCAAGTCCCGGACCCGGCGACTGAAGCTCATGCTGGGCACGTGTGTGTGCGTGCCCAAGATCCCAAGAGGAGAATGGAGAAGAAGGGATTGAGGCGTGGCCATCCCCCCTGGGGGGTGATTTCTCGCTTTCTGTCTCTCTGTCTCTCTCTGTCCTCCTGGCAAGTGCACACGCCCTATAGAAAAACCTCTCAAAAAAAAAAAGTTAAGACTGATATACTTCTCACATTATATAGAAAGAAAGCAGAAAACACACGATGGGACTACCCGACTCAGGTTGAAAAAGAAGGCAGAGAAAGAAAAGCCTTCCTACGATGCTGAAACATCCTAGTGAGGGACTGATGAATGTTCTAAAGAAAATTTTTGGAGATGGAGATGGTAATATGATGTGAACTATTAATAAAACCTGGGTGGAATCAAGAGAGAGGCAAGCCAAGGGAGAACCAGAATTTTGAGACTTAAAAGTCCTTTCAGGAACTGTGGTGTGGAAATCCTGGTGTTTCCAGTAAGGGAGTGTTGGTGAGCTGCACTTATCAATTTGACGGTCGACTATTACACGGCCTTTTAAGTGAAGACAACAAATTCTCCATGTCCTGTTGGAGAATTTATTTAAACAAAGAATGTTATTGAACACTTAAAAACAAAAACCTAGTGTATTTATCAATGACAGATTGAGAGAGAGGAATACTCTTGACAGGGTTTTGTCAAGCTGCAGCCTCCCATCCAGCTGGGTCCCAGGTGTGGACAGTCCATGCCAGTGTGCTGAGGTCAGCGCATCCAAGTCTCAGCACCCCCATGTGGTTCCAGCATCGTACAGTGGTGCCCTACGACCTGTGCCACCACGGTGGGGCTCTTTTTTTCTTTTTAAAAACAATGTCTCCCCCGTGTTGCAGTTCTTTTGCCTCAGTCTCAGGTAGGACAGTAAGCGTGGGCTGCCATGTCTAGCTCTGTTTCAGACCAGGTCTCACTGTGCTGCCGGGGCCAGCTGGTGCTCATGATCCTCCTGCCTGAACCTTCTCAGCTCGCTGGGACAGCAGGTGTGTGCCGCCACCCCAGGCTTTGGG